CCCAGGAGGCCCCAGGAGGCCCCCTATCAGAACGCGTCAAGTTAATACACATCTGGCGTCGATTCGTTGATTTTTCCTGCTCTTGTGGCCCCCCCCATTTTGGGGAGCTCCGACGGCCACATGTTAGATATCCCCCCCTGGAAGCCCCAAGAGGCTTCAGGAAGCCCCAGGGGTCCCCAGGAGATTCCCAGGAGGCTCCCAGGAGGCCCCAGGAGGCCCCCTATCAGAACGCGTCAAGTTAATACACATCTGGCGTCGATTCGTTGATTTTTCCTGCTCTTGTGGCCCCCTCACCCATTTTGGGGAGCTCCGACGGCCACATGTTAGATATCCCCCCCTGGGAGCCCCAAGAGGCTTCAGGAAGCCCCAGCTGGGGTCAAGGAGGCCACAGGAGGCCCAGGAGGAAGCCCCAGGTGGTCACCAGGAGACCCCAGGAGGCCCCCGCAACTCGGAGCTCTGAGACGCCGCGCTCGAGGTGGTCCGGCCCGTTTCGCCTGAGACTTCCTCGCAGCGCGTTTCGACCGAGACATCGTCGCAACTCTGGGGTCCGAAATGCCGCGCGCGAGGTGGTCCAGCCCGTTACGCTGGAGACATCCTCGCAACTCTGGGCTCCGAAATGCCCTGCGCGAGGTGGTCCGGCCCATCTCGCCTGAGACATCCTCGCAACTCTGAGCTCTGAGATGCCGTGCGCAAGGTGGTCCGGCCCGTTTCGCACAAGACATTCTCGCAACTTTGAGCTCTCAGATGCTGCGTAAGAGGTGGTCCAGCCTGGGCGCCAGAAGACCACATGTTACATATCCCCCCTGGGACCCTAGGAGCCCCAGGAGGCCCCAGAGAGCTTCAGGAGGCCGCAGGACGCCCAGGACAGGCCCCAGGGGTCCCCAGGAGATTCCCAGGAGGCTCCCAGGAGGCCCCAGGAGGCCCCCTATCACAACGTGTCAAGTTAATACACATCTGGTGTCGATTCGTTGATTTTTCCTGCTCTTGTGGCCCCCTCACCCATTTTGGGGGGCCCCGACGGCCACATGTTAGATATCCCCCCCTGGGAGCCCCAAGAGGCTTCAGGAAGCCCCAGCTGGGGTCAAGGAGGCCACAGGAGGCCCAGGAGGAAGCCCCAGGTGGTCACCAGGAGACCCCAGGAGGCCCCCGCAACTCGGAGCTCTGAGACGCCGCGCTCGAGGTGGTCCGGCCAATTTCGCCTGAGACTTCCTCGCAGCACGTTTCGCCCGAGACATCGTCGCAACTCTGGGGTCCGAAATGCCGCGCGCGAGGTGGTCCAGCCCGTTACGCTGGAGACATCCTCGCAACTCTGGGCTCCGAGATGCCGTTCGGGATGAAGAGGAGGTGGAGGAGGAGGAGAGGAGGAGGAGGAGGAGGAGGAGGAGGATGAGGCAGGATGCAGGAGGCAGGAGGCAAGATGGAGGCGAGGCGGAGGACGGGGGAGGAGGAGGGAGGAGGAGGGACGGGAGAGGGAGGAGGAGGGGGAGGAGGAGAGAGGGAGGAGGAGGAGAGGGGGAGGAGGAGAGAGGAGGAGGAGGAGGAGGAGGGGAGGAGGAGGAAGAGGGAGGAGGAGGAGGAGGAGGAGGAGGAGGAGGAGGAGGAGGAGGAGGAGAAGGAGGAGGAGGAGGAGGAGGAGGAGGCATGTTTTCACATGCCATGCCAGCCGCACTGGACGGGCACGCAATCGACCTTGGAAACCGCAGTGAGTCTAAAAACCCTGTTTGGGGATACTGCACTCTGGCTATAATTTATGAGGGATCGCGGCAGTGGGAGCGCGGACCCTGCGTAATTTGCAGAAAGGATCGTGGCCCAGTGAGCGCGGACGCAGCGTACATTACTTGGCATCGTGGCCCTTGGAGTGCGGGCGCAGCGTAATTTACGAGGGGTCGGGGCCCTGGGAGCGCGACCCCAGTGTAATCTACGGGGGATCGGGGCCCTTGGAGTGTGGGCGCAGTGTGAACTGTTAAGGTTCGTGGCCCTAGGAATGCGGACGCAGCGTAATTTATGAGCTGTCGTGACAGCTGGAACGGGGGCGCAGCGTGATTTTGGACCTCGTCTCGGTTGGTACTGCTTCGGTTCGTCCTGTCTCAGTTCGTCGTGTCTCGGTGTGCCGCGTTTCGGTCCGTCCTTACTCGGTGCGTTCCGTCTTTCTTTGGATTCGCCTCTTCTCGATTCGTCCCGTTTCATAACTGAGGGGGAACTTGAGCTCGGCAGCACGGCACAACGCGGCGCAGGACAGCGCGCATTGTTGGTACGTCTACTTCGTGGGGTGGTTTGTGGGATGCTTCGTGGAGTGTTTCGTGGGGTGTTTCGTTCCGGGAATCGTGGGGTGTTTCGTGGCTGTTTGTTGGGTGTTTCGTCAAGTATTTCCTAGCGTGCTTCGTTGAGTGTTTCTTGGGGTGTGTCGCGGGGTGCTTCTTAGGGCGTTTCGCGGGCTGTTTCGCGTTTCGTTTCGTCCAGCATTTCGCAGCACGGCACAGCGCAGCGCAGCTTCTGGCACGGTGCCATCACCATCGATATATTCATCATTGTTACTGCCCATCGCCCAATCCAGGTGTCTCGAAACGTTTCCATGCTTCACATGTCTATATCCCTTTCCGGGTTCGTGGGTCCAGCATGTTGTTTTTAACAATTGGGAACCCAGCATCACTTTGCCTGACGCCAACGCTCGAATTGGCAACGGCGACGTCGCTATGCATGTTGGCGCGCTCGGATGCGCTCAGAAGGAGAATTCTGCTGTTTGGTTTGGCCTCCGTGTCGAAAGCATGCGCCATCTCGCCGTACAGTCGGCCCAGATTAGCAGGTCGACCCTGCCAAATCAAGGGCACCCTTGTGTCCTGTGTCTCGCGACCCATGCTTCCTGCACTCCTGTGGCGATGTGGCCCTCGGAAGGGTCCTGTGTCCTCTCGCGTGCCCTGTCCAATCGAGGCCGACCGTAGACGCGACCCTTCCGCGCGGTCCTGTGGCGATGTGGCCCTCGGAAGGGTCCCGTGTCCTCTCGCGTGCCCTGTCCAATCGAGTCCGACTGTAGACGCGACCCTTCCGCGCGGTCCAGTGGCGACGTGGCCCTCGGAAGGGCCCTGTGTCC